AAACACTTTTAGATAGCCTTAAGAGAGTCTGAAAGCTTTCACAAATGGGTTAAAACACAGATTCTAGACTGTTATTCTCTTTTAAGCATCATTGAATATCCTCTGTCAATATACATGCCTAGCTTGTTTAATTTCTAAAATTCTTACCATCTTATTTAGGGAAGGATGCTTTGAGAAATCAGGGCGAGTTCATCATGCTGGACTGTGCTTAATACACGACTACACCAGCCAGCAGTGCTTCCAGTAGGAAATGTGGGATGACAAAAGCCTAAGTGTTATTCATTAAAGGATGACAGCAGTACTTGTCTCCAATACTGAATTGAATTGTAGGAGTCTCACCAGTGATATGACCAGTATCGCTTTTTAAGCTTTGAAATTTTATTATGTCCAACCTAACTTTTCTCAGGACTGGCAAGTTAATAAGAAAGCAAAATCATATATGGGGTTTAGGGGTTACGCTATGAGCAAGAAAGTAACATGAGTAATACAAGAGGCACAGAGAGAGTTGGCATGACTTTGTACTGCCATTTAGATATCCAGCTAGGCATAATGAAGAATAGTAACCTCTGCCTCCAGCCAGGCAATAACAAGTGTCATTGTCGAGCTCCTTAGAGTGACGCCTGAAGGCTGTAGGCTTTAAATTAGTACTGCCTTTTCCTGTCATTTTGTAGTTTCCTACCAAAAAAGTGAACCAAAAATAGGTTCATTTTTCCCCCAAGAATCTTAATTACTTATGGAACCTTGTGAGACTATTCTTAAATAAAAGCTGAAATACACATAGAAGCATGTGGTGAGGGAAATGTGGTTTTTCAATGCACAATAGGAAATCAGGAAACATATGAACCTGAGAACAGCAACAGATTGCAGCAAGATAGAGGCCAGATGTGGAAATGGCTAGGACTCTTTTAGGGAGCATTGAAAGGTTACATCTTTATGGATTCTCAAATGAAATGTGTGCTAGAGACAGTTCAGAAACAGCCTCCAACGTTTCATGCATACAGGAGTGCAGACTGGCAAAAGGCTGCCTAACAAACACAGGTCGTATCCATACAAGCAGCACTGTTTGCAGCCTGATATTTCAGCAGCTTTCTCCTAAATTAGTATATTGTCATACAAATGAAATGAAAGAATTTCCCCTACCTTCTGTGCAAAGGTGAATTTTACACTACCTTACTTACTGTGTTATCTGGTAGCATGAGGAAATGTAGCCATAGAAGTTTCATTATAAACAATGTGCTTAGTTACTCTTGTTTCATACTCTGAAAATTAAGCTGTATGTTAAAATGCTTTTCATTTGTTAGAAAAAGCTAATACTGCTGCCATGGCAGCCAGTTTATTATATACTAGAGACAATTGCTATAAGGAATGAATGCTTCCTTGTGAAAACAGCATTCCTACCCTGTGGGAATAATTATGTGGAGTCCTGAGGACATGTTTAAGAACCCTTTCATTTAGCTGCAGCACAACCCCAGGCCCATCTGCTGGGAGCTGTGATGGGCTGCAGGAGATGCTGACACCAAAAGAAATGTGAATCCACAGCCTCCGGTCCCCAAATTCCCAGGATGATGCTCTCATCCTACTAAACCCAACAGCAAAACTTTCTTTGGCTTCAGTAAAGCCTGTTCTTCCACAATTGCCGTAAGACATGGAGAACACTTCACGTCTCAGTGTAGGCTGGTACATTCAATTGGTGTTTGTGTCACTGTTTGCAAAAACATTTTCCCTGATAGCAAAACACATGTCCTGCCCCCATCAGTTACACCGGTCAGACTTTTTTGAAGATTGCAGTAAAAATCAACTATTGAAACATTCAAGATTAAAAAGAACCTCCTCCTCTTCCCTTTAAAAACAGGTGTATGTGTGGGCATTAGAATTTGCACATGACTGATAGGCAAGTCATTTAGAAGCATAGAATTGTTCAGGTTGGAGGAGACCTTCAAGATCATCGAGTCCAACCATTAACCTAACACTGACAATTCCACCACTGAACCGTGTCCCTAGGCTCTGCATCTAATTACCACCAGAGCAGCCAGTCTCTTTTCAGCACCACTGTTTTTCAGGTTTTACCTACCACTGACTCTGTATTTTTCCTCCGCTGTGTTGTTATATACATCTTTCTAACTAGACCCTTGCATTTTGACCTTCTGCCTGTGGCTCTGATTTCTCTCATTACTCATTATTCCTCTATCCTGTCTTGTATTAAACCTCTTTTCCATTTAGTGTGTTCTACTAAGTTTATGAATGCACGGCTCCCTCCTCTTCTGAACAACTAATGAACCTCAGTAATGGGAAATCTGACATAAGGGAGTATACAGACAGAGAGCAAACGATTTAACATCAGTGAGAAGACAGAAATCATGTCTTCAGCACTGATGTTTTTTTACAGGGCTAGACACTAAAAACTGTGTCATAGGCTCTCCACAACCTAAAGTATTTCCTCTGTTCATATTAAGCAAGCATTCCTGTGGAATCATTTCTGCTTGAGGAAAGAATATTTTATACATAGACTTGGTCAAAAGGAGATTTTCCTTTGAAATTTTCAGCTTCTTGTTAAAATGAAAAACACAAACAAAAAAAACCCAGACCTTTTTGCTCAGAGATGTATTTGTTTAACGTTTCATCTGTGGTACGTTTTGCTTTAACAGAATCATATCAAGACATGTCATGTCAGTTTACTTTGATATTCAGTCAGGTCTCAAGCCCTATTGTATCCTTCTGTTGCAGTAAGCTGCGCTGACATATTACAAGGGATATGGTCTAGCAAGGAAACTGGCTCATAACATTGAATTTGAGCATGAAGAATCTTCTAAAAGCTCTGCTGTGGTAATCTGTATCCAAATCAAACCCTTCAGTACCAGTCAGGTTTTTGTGTGTTTAGTTTTTCTTGTTAAAAGTCAACATTTTTTACTGGAAGTAGAAACTTAATGGAAGTTTAACTTCATGATGCGATACTGGAGATTTCAATTACTATGATAATGGGAGCAGGAACATGAATAATAAAGAGACTCATAGAACATCTGTGACCATGAAGTATTATCATAGTATGTATCTGATCAAAGATGACTTGAAAAAGATCCAGGAAAAAAGGATTATATATCATGTAGACTTCATCTGCTGTAGACAAGAACTTTTAAAATGTTCTCACAGCATCTTTTCTTCAAAAAATTTGAGCAGGACTCAGATGTCCTCCTGAGGAAAACATCTCAAATGACATTGCAGGAGAAACCTCTGCCAAGTTCAATAAAGGTATTAAATAATAAGGTTCATTTTAAATATAAAGACAAAAGCAGCTTTTCTTCTTTCTTTCTTCTTGGGGAGTCATATTCAGTTAGAACCAGGTAATGACATCTTTATATTTTACCTCAATATTCAATAGACAAAGGCAAAATTATAAGTGAAAATAGTTTAGCACAGATGTCATGGCTTTCCTCCCTTCTCTCACTTTTTGCTAAGTTAGCTTGAAACTGTGGATAGTTAGGGCCGGGCGGTCGGAAGATGTCATGCTGTACGGAAAGGTAGGCCCCCCCCTCCTCTCCTGATAACCAGTAGCGTTTAGCCCATAGGTGTAAGCAGACGGAAGTGACGCTGTAAACCTAAGCTATATAATACTGTGCTACCCGTCAATAAACGCCATTTGCCGTCCACCACATTGGTGTCTGCGAGCTGATGGCCCGAGCGGCCTGGGGTAGGTCGCCGTGCCGTTCCTGAACCAGGTCGCCACGCCAACAAAGGCAACAGAAACTCTTCTGGAAGGGACTGCACAGCCCTCCAAGGGGCTAGCTATGGGAGTTCAAGGAAAATACACAGTAAAGTTTTTAAAGCTATTTTCTCTGTTTCTTCAGGAAAAATTATCTTCTCGGTTCTACTTGTGATTCCTAGTGATACTGTGAGACTTCAAGACTCCTAGGCAAAATGAATTGGAACAAATAAAACTTGTATTAACTGTGAAATGATTTGTACAATCAATATATTATTTTGTGGAGAGGTTTTGCTTGGTTGGTATTGCTGCACTGTTCAGAATGACATTTCCTAGAAAATGCCTTATAACCATCAATTATTGGAGAAAAACAATATAGCACTATTCCTGACATCAAATGGTACTCACCAGCACAATTGAATCCACTTCCTCGGTAGCCCTGTTTACATTTGCACTTGAAGGATCCTTCAGTGTTGAGGCACTCTGCATGGAGGTTACACCTGTGTGTATTTGTCACACATTCTTTTTGGAAAGACATAAATGCTTCAGGGAAAACTGCGTTGAAACCGAAGCTTCATGACAGCCTGTTTGTGCCAGCCATCTGTTTCCAGGTATTGTAAGTACTAGAGTTAGACCAAGACGGTCCAGAGACCATCGGAGGCAGAAGTAACACTAGGGGAGAATGCTTAAGGTCAGCTCCAACTGCACAACTACTGGTATGTGCATCCATGGAAAACGCAGAGGATCCCAGTAAAGACAAAGTGAACGTAGTGATTTTCTGACTGAGAATGGGATTCAAACTGTAGGTTGTACACGCTCTTCTATCAACAAAATGCAAAAGGCACCAAGAGAATGTGTGACATCAATGAAAAAACAGTTCACCAAATCTTTCTGATTCTTTCATTCACTCCAGAAGAAATGCAATGGAAAGTAACCCTGAGCATGCCAAGATGTTGAGATCTTCTAACTACCTCTAACATTCCAGCACATATATGATGATGTATGAAAACAGTATAATCAGGAAAAATTCAGTAGCAAATACTATGTTCAACTGACAGCAAAATGTACAGGCAGCAAGAGTAACTGATCTTGTTCTTCTTTTCCATTATTTTGCTATGTCACAGAGGTGCTTCTGATTTCTCCCACATGGGGGAGCCAAGTTGGTGGACAAATTTTTGCACCACTTGCATTTTATCCAGATTGCTTAATTTTTAGCAGCTGACAGGTCCTCTCATAATGTAACCCAGCTAGGAGACAAGCAGCAGGAAGACTGACTCGAAAATATGGTATGTCTGTGAGCGAGATTAAGGTTTGCAGATAAAATCCTGACTACTGAGACCTCTCCAGTTTTTCCTCCAGGCACACATATTGTATGAAAAAGTAAATAATTTTTACACTTTAAGACTCTCAGGGTTTGCATGCAACAGGAAATGCAGACTTCAGTCTACAAAACCTGCCTTATGATCTCCCTCCCACCCCTAACTCTCAATACCAAGCAAATACAAACAAACCCCATGAATTCTCTTTTGTATGCATTTCTTGTAGTAGTTCCAACTATTCCAGGTACTCGTGTAGTCAACTGCTTGAACAATACTGCTGCAGTAACTTACATTTTGCTGTTCTTCCACCATTCAGCTAACAGATTGAAACAGGCGTGAAGGTGTTCTGACATGTGTTTTAACACCTGGGCACACCAAGATAACTTTTTGCCTGTATTTATTTTTTGGGGGGAGAAACTAAGGCACACAAGAGAGACCTGAAAAGTAATTAAACCCTACTATTTTCATACCTTTTTTAAAAGTTCTGTACTGTCCATCCACACAACTGTGTTTACAATTATGAGGGAACTAGATTCACATTCCTCATTAATGACAAAAAAAAGGGAAAAAAAAGATTGTGGGGCTGCTTGTTCATCACGGGTTGAAAGCCAAGAAGACAAAACATGGCTCTTTAACTAAACCTGTACCAGAAGTAGCACTTCTTTCTAGTCAACTGTTGCTAACTTCTTGCAAGTCCTTGCACATCTTGACTTGGTACAACGAGGCAATTTAATTTGCAGGTGGCACTGATTAAGTTTTGCGTAAGACCAGAGAGAAAACCCAGAGAAAAATTCAAAGTACCATCAAGAATATTCTTAGTGTGGCACCTTTTATCCATTTCTGAGGCAATAACCCCAGACTAGGCCAACATGCTTCAGGCAACGACAGGAAAGATGCACAGTGTGGGAATTAAAAATAATGGAGAAGGAAAATTCATGGGCTAAATCTTACCTACACAGTCATAATGGCCGCTGACGTATTTCAATTCATAACCAAGCTGGCACTTGCAGTAGTAGCTTCCAAATGTGTTGACGCACCTGCGGTTGTAAGAGCAGACAGCTTTGCCAGCAGAGCATTCATCTATGTCTAGAGCAGGAGAAGGGATGCTGGTCAGATCCATGAGAAGCTAACATGGGAAAGCAAGAACTGATCTGGATTTGCACGGGAATGGTTTGGTCTTGGTTATCACAAGTTGTTTAATAAGCAAGTCCTATAATTTCACACTTGCGTGGCTTTTGCACGTGCTCATACAAATGAAGCAGCACAATGTGAACTAACTTTATGGAAGATTTTGAGACCCAGCATGGTAAAAACTAGGGTAACTGGCACTGGGGATTCGCCCCACTGGGGACAATGATTAAGTTAAGACTAATAGCCAGGGATCTTCAAATGTTTATCTGTTTATAGTGTTTCTGTGACTAATACCAGAGTATTAGAGTATCTTATAATCTCTTAAGCACCTATTATGTTATACAGCAGAAAGATGCTATCTCTCTCATTTTAGAGTGGAGAACTCATGACATACCACAAGTTACACAGAAAGAAGAGGGCTGGTATTTCCAACCATTGTACATACTTTTTTCTCTATTTTACTTACTATCGTATGTATCAGCATTCTTCCAAATCCATCTGAGCACGCAAAGTAAATACAAATAAACTCAATACAAAAGAATAAAAACAGTTGCCTGAATAATTCAATAAAAGATTTAAGAGAACCACTTATCTATTGTAAAGATGTATGTCTACAATGTTTACCTTCAAATAGCTCTTAAATAATTCAAACATTTTAACTGTGAGTGGTAGTAGTCTGAGAGCCTTGCTGATGACTCAAAGCAGGACACTTTCAATTACAAAATCATTTCATTTTGAAAGAAAGAAATACCGTTCTCATGTTGGAGCGTTTATAGTTTGGAAATTAAGTCAAGTATCCGTATGAGTTTATTTGATAGCTCCTAAAATTGTTAAAGTAATCCCAGGCCATATGACCTTCATATGTGATGATCTTACATCTGCATGTTAAGGAGAACAATTAATGTAGTAACTGTCCTTCTACACAGCAGTGTCTCTTGGTCAATGTATTTATCTAATCTGTGGTTTGAAATATTAAGCGTAATATTATTTTGGCCATTGGAGTTAAAATTAGTTTATGTTTGAATGTTAAACCTTTCAACATCTAAAACATTCTTTAAGTTGTAGAAATCATTCAACCAGTATGTACTGGTAAGCAGCATCTGAAATGAGTTAGCTACTGTTATTCTTTGCCTGTAAGGTATGATGTCCAAGCCACCCTTTACGAACTGAAGGACTTGCACTATTGTGAGAGAAACGATGTAAAAATATGTGAAATCATCAATATCTTCAGGTATGTTGCTACAGACATTTTAGTAAATAGCACCAGCTGAAAAAAGTTTTCTTACAGAATCACAGAATGATTGAGGTTGGAAGGGACCTCTGGAGGTCATCTGGTCCAATCCCCCTGCTCAAGCAGGAACACCTAGAGACAGTTGCCCAGGACCATGTCCAGGCAGGTTTTGAACATCTCCAAGGAGAAATTTCCATTCTCTATTTTCCATTGTATTTTTGGCAGGGCTGGGAAATAAAACATTTCCCAGCTGCAACTTTCAGTCTTCTGTGCTTGCCTGAGTGGAATAAAGGTTTTAAAACCCAGAAAATATCATTCCCTGAAGTTGACTAGGGGTGTTACCTATTTAGAGACCAGGTGAGACCAGGAAAGAAAGGTTAGATTGGAAAAAAGGAAAGCAAGAAAGAAGGAAACAAACACTATTTTCTGGCTGTTTGTGGGTTTTTTGTTTTGTTTTGTTTTGTTTTTTAACTTGGAACTGTTCAAATGCTACAAGTTACCATTTTACAGGACAATGTACTTACTGATTCAAAAGGACAACTTGCATTTCAAAAATTAGCTAAAGCTATTCCAAAGAAGAAATCTGGAACTGAAAATTTTTTTGTTTTTTTCACATCTGAAGCTCTGCTACTGGTCCTATTTTAAAATGAAATGGCATAAAGTATTTACAAAGCAGTATTTCTCTTAAATATAAAACAAAGAGCATCTGGTCTGAAAAATGAACACTTTCAGAGCCTTTCAGGTTTTTCTGTGATGAATAGCAACAAGAATATTCCAGCTTTTGGAAAGATGCCTGGACAGACACCGGACCTTATTTATCAGGGCCCAGCCCTGCCGACTCTGGGTCATCCGTGGCTCCTGGATCATCTCCACTTTGAGAAGCCAGGAACTCCTCCCTGACATGCTCTTCACTGCCCCCTCTTCTCTAGTTTTTGGAGTGGTCTCTGCTTTGAAGTGTTTGTTTTACATCTATTGGGTTTTGAAATGAGTTAATTTAGCTTCAGTATTAAAATAGGTACGATTTCAGCATTGGATTACAATGCTGTAGCACCACTATGTCAGGTGACAATGTAAAACCAGTATCACAGAATAGTACCAAGTGTTGTAAGTAATGCTTTCTTTACCACAGAAAACCCTCAGGTTAAGTGATGTTGAGTCTTCTGGAGAAAAACCTGAAGGCTTGTATTCTGGGCTACCACAATAAAAGAAAACCCCATCCAAACACAACCCATAAATCCTCTAACGCATTATGTCAGTAAGACAGCTTCCTGCAGGCAACACATTGTAGACCTCAGAGCAAACTGAATCTGATAATGACTCCAAATTATGTCAAAACATTTAATTATTTATTGGGGATGGGACTCACCTGAAGAATTGCATGGCCAGTATTACATGAACATTTTTCTAAAAAACCATGCAAGATTTATACCATACTGCGAGTAACAAGAAGCATTATTCAAGCCAGTGAGGAGGACTAACTACTTCTTAACCTTTCCCCAGAATCTTGAGTTTTTTCAAGATCCTATAGAAAAGAAGGTGAGAGTGAGCTCTCTAACCATACCGATGCATGTCCTTCCGTTTGGTCCCAGCTGAAGACCACCTGATGGACAAAGACACTGCATCTCCCCTTTGACTTCTTCACATCCATATTGGCAATTCACCATGGCACACGTCCTAGAACCTGAAACAGTATTTAAAATAACAAAAAGAGCAAAATTCTAGGCTGGGATCATGCACTCTAAGTTAGATCTGGATGAATGCAGAAAATTAATCAGAACAACAAAAATCCATTCATCATAAATCAAGCTGTTTATACACTGACACAGTAACAATTCAGGAGCCCATGAGAAGGATCTCACACCCCACTTTGTTCTTTGCTTATTTGCCCTTATTCCTCCTTTTGTCTCTGATCCCAGTTCTGTAACTTCTTACTACTACCTTTTAGATTCAGAGACAAAACTGCTCAAAGTAGAAAAAAGGTGTCTTTTACATTTTCTATTGAAACTGTTTTACCTTGCAGAAAAATGCTATTCAGTAGTGAAATGTTTTAATTGCTTACCATTAAATATACTTCTAGTATAAAATTTTATTTTAAAAACTATTTAGCCTTATGGACTTAGAAACTGCCCTTTATTTTGACCCTTTATGGAACAGATATCTGAATTTTACAAGGCTCTAGCCAGAACACAAGTCCTGGTCACCACAGATTGGTTAGGAGTCTAAATTATTGAAGATGATTTTTTAAATAGAAATGTAGGAGTCTAGATCCTGTCTGAGAGACCTATGCAAGACTAGAAAAGCAGGAGAAATATATTAAGTATGTAGGGAGATATTTCTAAAATCCTGAAGATATCCAGGAAGCTTTAGTGTTATGACGCCAGGGACAGAAGTAGCATTTGGAAGTGTTTACTGGAACAAATGGAGGTGTGTGCAACGAAAGTATTTCCAGCTACTTCACCCTGGTTGCATTCAGAGAAACAAAACTGTATATAGGTTCATTGTAAGCGGAAAGCCTGGAACAGTTGTCAATTTATTAGAGACAGAAACCAATCGAAAGAACTTGAAACTGGCTCACTGCTTACGTAGAAAATAATACGAAATTTATTTTTAAATGCAATATGTTCATTGTCAGAGGTACCAGAACTTTCAGAACAGTGGTTAATAACAGAGTGTATAGAAAAGACAATGATGTGTGCAGTGTATATATAGCTACAGCCATATTATTTGTGATTTGAATATAAAATACAATGCATATTAGTTCTATGTGCTATTAAAATTAATCTGTTTGATCTGTGATAAAATTACTTTTCTTAGGCTGGTTTGTGCAGAATCTGGGGCTAAGTGATGCATATTCAAGGCCAAGAATGTACTGTATTTGCAAAAGCATTTTACTTTTGTATGAATGCGAAGACACAGGAGATAAGAGTTAAAAAAAAGATGGACTGCAAATCATAATACTTTGGCACATTATCTACTTCCTAACTGGGAATAAAGAAACTGGCTAAAAATTCTTCTTCTCTAATTGATAATTGTCTGTTTTCTCTTCTGTTTGAAGCTCCCGTTCCTGGCTTTGGTTAGACATAATATTGGCTTAGATGAAGTGCTAAACAAAATCTAGTATAGTAATTCCTGCAGACTTTGGCTGATCTTGTGTTAGGTATCAACTTACTATTGTAAGCAATGGTTCTCTGTGGCCCAAAGCCACATTCTTCTGATGATACCCTTCTTCCAGCTCCACAGCCCCTCGGCATGGTTGCAGATAAGCCTGACTGCTCAGACTAGGTGGACTTCATCTCACTAAGGAGATTTGCATCATGGGGACTTTGATTCAGAAAGAGCAACAATATGCTCAAAATGTCTGCCTGAATAAAACTATGAGAATTATACAGTTGGTTAAATAACCTAGCATTTCATCTAAGCATCATCTTAAGTTAGCATGAAGTGAAATGGGAGGCTTCTAAACTTAACCAAGAATAGTTTCTACTCAAGCAAATAATTTACTACTACATAGTTTCTGCTTAATGGAAAAGTGGCACACGGGTTGGGTCAATGTAGTACAAGCTGGATGAACATTTTTGCCTGCTTAAGTAGAGCTGTGAAGAATTAAGACTTCCCTTCTATGGGAAACCTGGGTTTCCCCTGAAAACTGTTCATTCTGTGCCAGCGTTTGTCAGGGTTCTACTGAGAAATAACGTTTCCATGTGCCAAAGTGAAACATAAGCTTCAGGGCTCACAGCTGCTCAGGGAATTTTTTTTCACATAAATTTGACACTGGCCACCATTGTCACGGAGAAATTCAGCGGTTTGTGCTGGCTTAAGCAAGGGATGGTGCAACTGCGCATTCGGTAAAAACTTCGTACAAATGCAGAGTTTCTTAAATCAGGAAATGAGTCCTGAACTAAGACTGGCTTAAAACTAATGCATCAGAAATGCTAAGTTACAGTCTAGATCTAGTTTTCTGACTTGGTCCAGAAGCGTGGCTGCAGCAAGCATTTGTGCTCAGAGGAGCGGGTGTGAGGGAGGGATGGGACAAAGCTGCTGCTAGGCTCAAAGGATGGTTTCTTTTGACTGCAGTGCTGGTTTCTGCCCGTTTCAGCTGTTCGTAAGACAGTGGCCTTACTGAAGACTGCTCCGCGTGTGATGTCAGCAGATACACAAGTCATCTTGGATGAAACAGAAGTAACATACATCAATTTGTCAGGGGTCTCAGGGCTCTGCAGCTGTTGCCTGCCGGTGATGCCCACCATGATTAGTAACGCAGAGCTGTGATGCAGGGAAGGGAAACCCTCCAAAGGCTCTGGCCCCAGCACCTTTTGCAGCAGTTTCAGTCTCTCTGCCATAAGAGAGAGAGAGAGTAGGAGCTCCGGCTTTCCTACCTGCCCCAGAGCTGCAGACCCTGCGCTCCCATGAGTGTTTGCCAAGGCTGGGTATTTTTCCAGTTCTCCCAAGACTGACAGCAGATTTGTCAGATGGACACCCCACCTGGTGAATGGTTGTCTCCAAGGTTTGCAGATCAAAGCCTTTCAGAGTTTATGGTTTTCTGTCATATCCATGGGAAAGATTGTGCTGCACCCCATACAGCTAGGTCTGTTGCTTTGGGACAGACCTCTCAAGCAGATTGTTCTGCTGCTGAGACCAACTACCTTCCTTGTCCAACTCACGCATCTGCTCCAGTCCAGTGGACTCCATAAAGGGCTGTCACCATGCTACCTAGAGTTTTGTGAAATTCAAAGCCAAAATACCTGTATGGAGCAGCTCAGGTGAAGAAAAAGCATGTTTTCTACAAACAAAAGAGTGTCATTGAAAAATAAGAAGCTTCCTCAGGTCTGCAAAATCAGGTTGGCTAGGAAAGCAGAATGCTTTCCATTACATGCTGGCTTAAAGACAAAGAAAATAGGTAGAAATACAGTTTAGATAAGCCCTAGCTCCATCAAAAAATGTTTGCAAGAAGCTGGTGGCAACTGATGGCATATCAACACACAGATAAAATTAATTAGTCAGGGAGCACAGAAAGGTAATGCAAGGAATAATGGCATGAAATTCAGCACAGTAAAAAGTAGTCTATATTGCCGCTTTGCTTGGATAGATTAATTCACTCTTAGTCAACAGATGAACTGGCAGGACTATGCACCAAGGTTGTACTAACTGCCCTTCATCTGAAGTAATGCTATCAAAGTTTTTTACTTCTAACAGGACAAAAATTCCTCTGAACACCAAAATACAAGTATGACCTAGTTTACTTTATCTGGGTACTGCCAAATAGAAAGCCTCTGCCAGCTGCTGACAGTACCAGAGAGCTAAGGCAAAGACCCTGTCCTGAATAAGTTAACGCGTTCATCACAAGAAGAAAATCTGCTGGGATCAAATGCGATCAGATGATTTTGATGTGCCTGTCTTATCAGCTCTATTACTTACTTGCACATGTGCCATCTGGCATAAGCATGTACCCGTTGAGACAATAGCACTTGTAGCTGCCATGTGTGTTCACACATCTGTGTTCACAGGGACGTGGTTTCAGTCCACATTCGTTCAGATCTGCAGAAGTCATTGGAATGAAGTGAGCGCTGGGTTTACACACATATATTCATACATATAGGTGGGTAATACTGCCTAATGCCTTGAATTCCCCACAGTAAAATGGCCTGGATTGAAAATGAGCCAGCCCCTTGCAAGATGAGAGTTCAGCAGACCATCTGGCTGAAAGACTGCTAGCAAAACTAACAAGCACACGCTTCTACACTTGGAAAAGTAGTGCAAACTCTGGCCACATCTGGCAGCTTGTTAGGAAGAGGTGGAGGGGTGGGGAGAGAATTGCAGTTACTCTTTACTGGGAGTTAGCTTTCTGGTTTTCGCTCATTCTAGCTGGAGATTTCAGCCCTCTAGTTGACTTCTGTACTAGAAAGGCAAAAATGTGAGACTTTTTTTTCTGAGCTACATATCCACACCAAGGTTATCAGGGTAGGGCTGTTTAGCATAGATGAAATACAAAATATAAAAATCATGTGACTTTAACAATAAAAGCACTGAGAATAAAAGCATTCTAAATCCTTCTCAAAATCCAGGGTTTAAAAGGCTTTGCAGAAGCTAAATTAATTTCAAATTCCTAATAGTCAGCCTTCACAGAGAGAAAACCAGAATCCTAAAGAGTTCAATTTGTGTGGTATAGGCAGAGCAGTGCTGGCAATGGTATTGGTCCTATGACAAGGGGACACAAGGTGCGTGTGACTTCTGTGAACTGACACTTCACCTCCTATATTTTGAATACTCATTAGTCAACACACAGAACTCACTAACAGCATGCAGCAGCGTATGCAGCCCATTCAACATGTGTTTAACAGCACATATGATCAATAATGTAATTCCAATAAAGATGCAACTCTCCAAGCACTGAGCTTGTCCAGCTCCACTTCTAATGGGAGAAGCATCTGTTCCCATGTTTATGTGCCCTGCAGACCACAGAAGAAACTCTAGACCATTCAAAGCCTAAACTTTGTTGTGGTTATACATGTGCAAAAGTGTTTGTCACAGTTCGCTCCAGGGAAGAAAAAGAGGGTTGCATTCTATTATTTAAACATAGGGTCTGTTTGAAAAAGGACAACCTATCAGCTTGCAATCACATTGGATTTTTGTGCTCCTGTGGCTCCACTAAAAAACCAAGGCTCCCTTCATAAAGAAACTAGAGGGGAACAAAAGTTATTCCGCTTAGACCATACATTTTCAAAAGTGCTTAGCTGCACCTATTTTGCACAATGCACAGTAATGCACAGATAACCTACACAGCTCCAAATGAGAGCCTATGGAGATAAGGCTAATTTAGCTCAGACTCAGTGGCAGACTAGTAGTCCCCTTATCTCTGTTATTTTAGTTAGCTCATGTTGAGCTTGCTCAGCAGGGCATTCTGCTGTAAGGACAGACCAAGGCTACATCTGCCAGTAAATTAGAAGTGGCTCTGAGCATTCCTGGCTGCTGGAACATGACCACCTCTATGGCTATACTACTGAAAGAGCTCTGGGACATTTCTGGTCTGTGCCAGCCGCCACTTTAATAAAAAATTCCCGGCCATGCTTCAGAAGGTAGAACAGCCCAGGGAGGCAATTTGCACATGTAGGTCTGTGCGGTGCTCCCACCAAGCCTCAGACTCCGAATCTACTGCAAGTGCGCAGAACCGATCTGCTCGCCTGTGGAGGGTGTATCAAATTCAGCTGGAGTTACTGCACAGAAACACCTAAAAGCTGGGGGCTTTGTTGCCTTTCAGTAACATTTAAGCTGCCAAATAATTTTTGAGGTTAAACTTCTGGGTTTAGAGGCTGAAGTTGCAAGTGATACCTACATACCTATTACACAGTGCCACGGCTGCTGTTTCACTTCCCTCTTTAGTGGTATTGAGGAATTGGCTTCTTTGCTTGTGAGCAACATCAAAAGCACAAAAGATGGAGTTTTCCAAAATACTTCACAGTATAGCTTTGTAGTGTGTTGTTTGAGATATTGTGTAATAAATGGGTTGACTCTAAAAATGCGAGTGTGTTTGGTACGTCAATGCAACATTTTCAAGCAAAGGCTGCAGGTGCTTAGGAGGGTAGCAAGGACAGACGCATCCACTTGTGTGGCCTTTATGTCACGCTTCCCTCACAGCACCTACAGTCCACTCATCTGCAGTGCAGCAGGATGGCCGCTCTCCACGCACAGTGACCTGCTCCTTTCGTCTGATCCAATACAGGGGTCTCGTATATCGGAACAGGGAAAAAAAGCTGAGTTCTCACCAATGTGTTAGATGAAGTATTTCCACGTCCAATTGCAAGTTTATGGAGGGAAAGTGGTGCAGTCAAAGTTTCTGAACATGCAATTCTGAAGTTCTGGTTCTCAGAAATACCAATCAGCATATGCAAACAGATGGCATTGGCCCAGGCAGCTTGACAAGTTACATATCTAGCATATAATTGCATGTCTTTCTGACAAGAAGGTTAGTCAAGAAAGTAACATGTGTTGCTAGTTAATAACATGGGTTCTGGATTTGCCTTCTGTCTCTTCTAATAATTTCCTATATAGCCTCTCCATGCCTTAATCCTCTGACTACAAATACGACAGTTTGCCCTTGTCATCAGCCCACAGGAGATACATGATATAGGTTAAAACTTCTGTGTGCTGAAGGAGGCTTAGAACTTGCCTGGGATGTTGGAGATGGAAGAGCATCAAACAGTAAGCTCTTCTATGTAAACAAGAAAATATCATGTTTTACTATTTTGGAAGAGAACACAACCCATAGTACAAGATAAGAAGACAGAACATCAACAGTCTGCTTTCTGGAATAATATCCCCATGCGCACAAACCTTGATTACAGGTTTTCCCTGTAAATCCAGGGAAACATTTGCATTTGTTTGGTCCCATGCACTCGCCGTACTTGCAGCCATGTCCACAGATAGCTGGCGGAGTCCGGCAGAGAAAGGAGAGAGAAAAAGAAAAAGTTAGAAATACTCTCTCTGAGAACTTTTTTCCTTGCTTAGCTGCCTAAAAACTTGTTTCACAAGTTCAACATCCTCCAAACCTCTTCCTCTAGTCTGGGCATGGTTGCTACTGATCAGCGCTTTATTTCCGTTTGAGAAAAGCGACACTAGCAGGGATTACATGAGTGTGTGCTTTTTCAGGTTTGTAAAGACCTGCAAAAGAAGGGACTGCTTTTAGCTCTCTCCCTCATGCTTTTCCTGCCATGCTTATGATTCCCATTTAGTTTTGTACTCTTGCCTTTTCCCTATTTTTAAGAAGCCTATGTGAGAAGCAGCTAGGCAGCAGCTGGACTTCCTACGCTTGGCATCTGGAGTAGGAAAGAGGCAACAGCACTCTCCTGCAGCCAGAGGAGACACATTACCCTACAGCAGTTTTCCAGTCTTGGATCTCCTCAGTTGCAGCTGAGGAACATGTCCATCCCACAGTGGAACGTCCAGAGCACATCTGTCAAACGATCAGGCAACTGTCCTTACCACACATCCCGGTAAGTAGATTTGCATCAAGGTTTACAATTATTTAAGAGGGCTACGCATAGCCTGGATGCATTAAAAAGTAAAAATTTTCTACCTCTCAGCCCCCTGGATCACTAGCCAGGAATTAAATGCTGACTTTTACAAGGCTTAAGGCTCCTAGAGTCAATGTGATTGTCAACATGAGGGTTATTCAGGAAAAGCAAACCAAATATGCACTTAAATCAGGGCTAGCTCTGGAAAAATAGCAAAAGAGTATGGACCAGGATGCGCATCTCACTACCTTGTGTAATTAAGTTGCTATGCAAACTATAGGAAATAGGAAAGTCACAGTCTTAGTTACTATATAGTAAAATCCATAATTAAAATTCATACTTCTGAATTCAAGTATCTTCCCTACATGTAAAGATTCAGTCAGATGTACTAATCCACTAACTCTGAAGATTAAGGCATTCTTCAACACTACCTCTATCCCTGAATGCAACATGGCATGCTGCAAGACCAGCTGAGTATTAGGACTGCAGCAGAGAACACTGCTGCGTCTGCATTTACAATGCAGAATTACATCATAGTTGGCTTAAACTAATCTGCCACAAAGAAGAATCTTAAAAGTTTATGAAAGCTGTATTTTAGTACGAAAGCAACCTATTGCCTTAAAACAAGACAACCTACTCCACTGGCTGATCAAAGTTATATTTGCCAGTTGATCAAAGTTATATTTGCCACTTGTTGCTCCAGGTATTCATCTGCATGAAAACTAAGGTGCTACAAAGCAATGCAGAAATATTAATAAAGGTATTAATCAGTTTTTCCTTTTTTAATCTGACATGCCATATATACAGAGCAGAGACATTTTGGCATCTTTCCCTTTCAGGTACCAGGATGTTGATTTTCAGCAATGAATAACCCTGAGCCTCTATTCAAATTCACTGGATGTATAATGCCAAACTTTCTGGGACAACACGTGCAACATCTCAAAAGGATTCCTAAAACATGTATTTTATGATTTCGTTGTGTTTTGCCCAAGTACATCTAGACAGAGTTTCCGCATCACCTTCTCTTTCACATCTGTAGACCTTTTACAAATTAGAAATGTCTTAAGAGTCATTGACTCTCTGTTTAGCCAATGATCCACAGACCAGAATGCTGGCTGCCTACCCAAGCTCAAGTCAGGTGCGCTTATTGCTTGGGTTTTATTTATATTTTCAGAAAGTTAAAAGCTCCTGGTTCTCAGAGGCTGTATACTCTGAAGATAAGGAATACCAACTGATAGAAAACCATTTTAGAGGACCATATGCAGCATTAGAAAACACTGCATTTTTGGCCCTTACTTGACAGCTGTACCAGTATAGGCACTGACCAGGGCTGTGCAGGAGGTTAGAACAGATGGCCCCTTCTGGATCTAAGAATTTTTTAATATATATTTTATGGTTTGGTGTTGTTTGCCCAAACCTCTGCTTTTTTTGAGGAGATGGTCTCTCAAATGTGTTTTATTTGCTCTCTCACAGAGTTAAGAGCTTTCACTCCTCAGAAGGTTTCTTTCTGTAACTTCTGGCAGACATCTACGAAATCCCTTTATTAGTACCAAGTGCACAGCCGTGGAGAGGAAACAAGCATAAAGTGTTAATGTTACCTTCACAGTGGCCCTTGTTGTTCTTTTTCCAGCCATAACAGCAATCCAACCTAGAACCATAGCGACACACCCCAGGCTGGCTCCCAGCCACCAGCTGCCCACGAGCTCTTGAGCTGTGTAAGGAAGGATAAACACTAGCTCCAGCAGGCAAACGCACTTTAATCCATTGCTCCGTATACTCCTTTGTACATTCCCCTTATGTTTTACCACTGTCAGGCATTTTCATTTCACCGAACCTAGAGCAGCGCTCCTAGACAGGAATGCAAAATTGCATTTGGTTGGAGAGACAGGGGACATGGGAACGTTCCACCTGCAGTAAATTAACCGTGCAACATAAATCCTTTCTAATGAGAAACACGGCAACGGCAAAAAATACAGCCAGGTCCCCTGCTAGAATGAGTCATTTTTAGTATCGGTGAAGTCAATGGGGCTGCTCCAGCATGCGTCACGTGAAGAATCTGGTTCAGATATATGATGCTGTAGCTGACAGCGCTATTGGCTTGGATGATGAAATACTAATTCTACAGAAAAGCGGCTTTCTGAACAGCAGTCAGCCCCATAAAAGCCAGTGACTTGCAGGCCCAGAGCCACTGCATACATGCAAATCAATTGCGTAAGTGCAGACAGTCCCATGCATTCTGGTTGCATGGGACTCCCTGATCGTACAAATTAACATTAATTTAATCTGCCAGTAAGCCCATGGGGTTCAAAGTCACTGTGCAGATCAACAGCTACAAGAATCGGAAAACCTGCAATGTTAGTTGCCAAAATTATGAATCTGATGGAAATCCACAACTGTGTAAGTCTTCTAGACCGACTCTATGCTGCAACGGGTGCTGTGACTCCAGTTCTCTTCTGCTTGCTGTTACTTAAGTTCTCCATTACCACATGCCTGTCCCCTTTATACAATTTCTTCTTTATCCAAAATCTTCTGTCGCCACTGCTTTTTCCAGGCCATAATTTAAAATGTGCTCTCTTCAAAGAGTCCAAAGTGTTGTTTCTGACACAGAAAAATATCTTATCTGCGAGAACTTCGTAGTAAGTGATTTGGGGTGTGAGGGGGGCAATACACCGCAACAACATCCCCACGATGGGGACACAAAAACAAAAATAAACTCAACAGGCCAGGAACTTCTGCATTTTTTGGTCTTATCCACAATAAATCCATTGCTTTATCACCTTACAGCAGTGCTTTGCACATATCCTCCTGTGCTTATCTGTAAGGGTTGCACTCATATTGTTACAGTTACTGTAAACATCACTAAGGCAAACTAGTAAAATAAATATATGCATACACTTCAAACATACAAGATGTTACTTCAGAGTTTTCTTTAGCAGCAGAACCACTGGACAGAGAAGGGAGTTCAGAGGAAATCGTAAGTTCGTGTGTCAGATACCCCGAAAGAAGAGATGGTTGTCATGTCACTTGGCAAGTAAAAAGACTTCAGTGTCGGAATAAGTTGTTCTGAAGTCACCCAGCCTTTGCCATCAACCCAGTAATGCAGTTTACAGGAATACATATACCCCATTTTCAGACAGGAGAAAAAGCGTATTGAATGGCTATGACTCCTGTATCTGTGTCTGTTAGAATTCAGCACCCTGCCTCTGGATTTACAGACAAGGAGACAACATTTTTCCGTTTTGTTCATCCAAATGGTGCCGGTTTACATCACTTGCAAGTATACAAGTTAAAGAATGTTATGTTCTTCTTGCTTGCTAGCAAGTCCCCTTGAATTCACCTGGCCAGTAAATGCACATTCATCTTGCATCCCAGAAAATCCCCTTGAATGCGGCTGGATAGTGCTATGACTCCCGTGCGAGGTTAAAATGCCTAAAGCTTGGAGGAAACAGGATCTCATTACTTTCCAAACTGTGCTCATTTTCACAGGAAGACAAACTCACTCAGTAACAACTCACTTCAAAATCAAACAATGAAAGCATCTTTACAAAGTATACAATACGTCACATGATTTCAGTACAAACTTGTCTTAGAACTGGGAAATGTTCCATAAAACTGCAAACAAAACACACATAGCTGAACTTTATACATATCGCCCTGGACAAGGTCTTTCACTTCTTCTGACTTCCACAACTAACACCAAGTTAAAGCCTACCTTTGGCAGCGGGAAAGGTCAGCTAGATTATTGAGAGCCCACCTGGATCCCAAAATCTGGGAAGAGAACCAGTTTTGCCAGGTTAGTCCCTCCAACCTGTCAAGAACCACCAGCCAGCAGCTCAGCTATCACTGTCAGGAGTTCAGCATTTTGCGCAAAAGAAAGAAATTTAGAAAGGGAAGATCCTTTCAGCAAGGCAGATCCTTTCCAGGAGAACGTCGCATAGAGTCTCCTGGACGCCTGGGGAGAAGTAATGCAGACTGGAGGCACGGCGTGCTTCTGATCCCTCCCTGAATGAAATTCTTACAGGATTTCACAGGGAGTGCCTAGACTGAGATTGCTGTGCTTGTCACTGTCTGCACAGTGTGCAAAAAATGCCTGGACTTGAAGAACCTGCTGCCTAAACACGTGACTGAAGAAGAAAGGCAGAAGAAGGTAGAATGTGCAGGTCGGGTCGCTGTGCAGGTCAGTGGCAAGAGCGGTCTCCGCATTTCTAGTGAAGAACTCTCTCCTCCGTGAGTCAGCAGCTTACAGCACTGGTGCTAAGGGTAACAAGTGGCAGACTGAGCCATGCACAGTACCCAGGCAGCAGAGGAGCAACTGGTTTTATGTGGCCCTGACGTTGCTGACACCGATAGGATGGCATTTAGCAAAGAACATTGAAGACGAATCACAAGAACTTCTACAGTAAGCCAGAGCCTCCTTAGCTGAGGTGACAGAAAGAAAGAGCTGACCATATTTGCTGTCACAAGATCACTGTGAGCCACTAGCACCATTATTAAATAGGCGAGAACCTCAGGTGTTTCGGTCAAAATTCCAGAAAAGTTTTATGGCTGCCATATCAGGTTATATTGTGCACAGTGCTTAACGTACATGTTGAAGAAATATGAATTATATACTGTATATATGATGATAAAAGCTGTGAAGAATGAAAAACCTGTTTCAGAAAGGATTTTATATCCATTTGCTCTTGTGCTACTGTCCATTAATACTCTGAGGGGGACACAAGAGTACAAACACAGCCAGGTGAGCTGTAAGAGTCTTAAAGAGCATTGAAGAACCAGGAGAAAAACTCCTACCTAATTTTAAGATACACAGTCTCCCTCAGAAACTGAGAAAGATCTAATGCTGCCTATAATGATACAAACATAGGCATGAATGAAGTTACGTCCTATTTACTCAGGTGCTGCTGAAAAAAGACGTTCCTCTCTGGAGTAATACGAAGATCATGAATTCTATCCCAAAAGAAGTCGGATCAATTCAGAGCAAAGCATTCAGATAAGTATATAACTCTACATCTATGGTGGCGTGAGCAGCAGACAAAATAAATTGGGTGTGTGATGTCAGAATAGAGCTTAAACTAATACATAGTACCTTTGACTTCTTGCAGTGATTTACTTAATTTGATATAAAAAAGAAAACTTTTATATTTACAATAAAACACGTTCAGAAAGTTTATCTGCTCCACTGATCAAACGGCTAGGTAGGTCTTCCAGCACAGCTAGGTTGATTGATAGGGTAGGACTAATATCCCAAATAGCTTAAATATACAAACAGCTGCAAAGGAAAACATTACAATAACTGATGAAAGAAGGGGAATAAAACACACCTGAATGTCGGCACTTGCTTATCCAACAGACTCCCCCTATCATCCCCTAACCACTTTTTTTTTGTTGTTTTGTTCTATAAAATAAGAAAATAGTTTTACATTGCATCCATTTCCCAAAATTAGTTATGACCCAGGCCAACTCCAGGCTACTAAAGATGTCTGTATACCAACGGGCAGTCAAAAATTTCAGATACAATAACTGGGCTGATAGCTGTGCTGGACTGTAATCCTCATTAGCACCAGCAGCAGCTAAAATAAACAGAAGTAAAAATCCCAACAGTGAAAAAACCGTACTTGTCGTGTTCTCCTGACCAGTGATCATGAATGGTCAAAGCCCTGTCTGAACTGAGTTACGTGACAGTAACAGCGGCAGAAGATGAGCGAGCAAGTCTGCTAAAGCCTGGTTTAACCAGGTAGGTAGATAGCAAAGTCAGGTATGGTTTGAACTAATACAGTTGTTTGTTTTCAGGTCCGACTAATATTCTGTCTTTTACTAAAGTTTTCTCTTGGAAGGAACATTTATGAGCTTTTACCTTTCGTTTTTTTCTCCTCCAAGACACAGCTGCTGAATAGATTCAGTTCGCTGTTTCCGTAAGATCTCTACACAACACTTGCGGTCAGCTCTTGCGCACACAATAGCTGCCTGCTGCGGGGTGAGGGGGAAACGTCTCGATTACATTATTAGCAGGTTCCAGTTAACTTCAAAGACAGGAATATTATTATTCCTTTCTTTAATTTCCCTCTAAAAAAATTTCTTGACACTGTTGCTAGCAAAAAAAAGCTAGCACCAAGCCTAAAAATTTGTTTAACTGGTATATTCAGAAGGATAAAAAGATGGCATCTCACAAATAAGCAATCTGAAAGACATTCCTAAGAAGTCCATTATGAGTGTACGTCACGCAGAGATACATTTGAACACTTTACCAAATGAAGGCATAGGGGTTTTTTGTTGTGTTGGTCGGTTGTTTTGTGGGTTTCGCTTGGTTTGTTTGTTTTTACACAAGTTTATTTGAAGAGTGACTTCCTTCTGGAAAAAAGTTCACCTATTAAATAAAACCAAAAAGTGTCACTTTCTGTCTTTTAATAACTGTGCCTTCGATACCCTTTCAGCCAGCTTCAGGCACTCAGCCTGACAACAGTCTTGCTTCACTGCGAGTCCCTCCCAAAACACCGAGTGAAGCTTAGCTTGGGCCTGCAGAAGCTACTTCTTTAAGACTTCACGCGGCTAACAAACTCCTTAAAGGAAGTGCTCAGAGCAGGGAAGTTCAAAGCCCAGGTATGAAAGCTACAGTTCTAAGAGACAAAAATAACCGTGATTCATTCAGCCCTCCAAAACTGATCCTAATTTTTACCATTTCCCGTTCCTTCTTCCTAGCTATTCAGAGCAGGCAGGATTTCTTCGTCCCCTGAAGTTAGAATCCCTTGCCATCCCAGATTTCCATCAAGGTGTTTGAATGTCTCTTCTTTCTCCTTCCTCCCAGTGGAAATGGCAGAGTGACAGTCTTGGTAGAACAGCGAGATGCCACCACCGTCACCCAACATCAACGTGTACAAGACTGGCTGCAGAGCCACCCGTCTTCGGCAGGCTGTAGGTTTCCCGCACGTTTCCTGACTTGCTGTGAAATAACATCGCTTTCACTGAACGGATTGCTCTCGGCTTCGGCTAGCCCCAGGCCGCACCTTTTTTTTTGGTGGGAGGAGATGCTCCCCTCATTCTGCAGCCTCGCACCTTCCGAAGCGTTCCGAACGCAAGCAGACGGCGCCAAGGAGCGACCAAGACGAGAGCCTGGAGAGACCTCCGCCCAGGAGCAGACGCGTTTTCGGTGGGAGCGGGCCCGGCGCCCGCAGACCCCCAGCTCGGGGGGAGCAGCGCAGCGGGGAGCCC